ACTGCTGCTGCCGGTCGCCTCCCTCTGCAGGGCGACTGGCAGGGTGATTGGGGGGGACCCCCCATGGTACCTGCCTTGACCGGCCTGGTGCCGCCCACTCACTGGCCCCGCCGCTGCCACCAGTTGCTTCCCTCTGCAGGGCGACCAGCAGGGTGATCGGGGGCCCCCCACTGGTACCTGCCTTGGCTGGCCTGGGGCCTGCGGGCTGAGGGCAGCTCCTGTGTTGAGTGTCTGCTCCCTGGTGGTCATTGTGCGTTATAACGACCGGTCATTCCGCTTTCGGTTGATTTGCATATTAGGCTTTTATTATATAGGATAAGTGTTTAGTCACCAGTTCAATTAACTTGCATCAAACCTTGCTTGGTAAGAGTCTGATAAAGTTAAAGCTTGTCTATGCTTTGGGAGATTCCTAGAGCAAGAGCAAGAAACAAAAATCTTTTCCTCAAGCTTTATGAAGGTACACAGCTGGAAAGGAACTTCTGAAATTCATTTTTGGAGTGATATTTTTAAAGTAGAAGGTTGATGTATTTAACAGGCTAGAGCAGGGGTGGGCAAACTTTTTGACTCGAGGGCCACAATGGGTTCTTAAACTGGATCGGAGGGCCGGAACAAAAGCATGGATGGAGTGTTTGTGTGAACTAATATAAATTCAAAGTAAACGTCATTACATAAAAGGGTACGGTCTTTTTTTTTTTAGTTTTATTCATTTCAAACGGGCCAGATCCGGCCCGCGGGCCGTAGTTTGCCCACGGCTGGGCTAGAGAGAGATTAGAAATACATTTGGAAAAGTAGGAGATGGTTAACAAGAATTAGGGTCCTTCGAGGCATTAATAGAAATCTTTATCTGTACCAGTTTTCTTACATTATTTACCTTAACATTAAACATAGAAGCTATGTTCATTCTCCTCTCCCCACTACCAATTACAGAAAAAGTATAAATACGAGGCAGAAGTTCCTGAGAATGTGCTAATCCTGTTCTTGGGTTCTTCATCCTGTCTCCTCCTATGGAGAGCTCTCCTCTCCTTTTGCTAAGTGATTTAATCATAATTCAAGATTTGCCTCTTTGTAACCTACTGCTAGATTAACATCATAGTTCTCTTTCTTTCTCCCCTCCCTTTATCAGTTAAAAACTGATCTTCCTTAAGAAGGTACCCTTTGATAACGAGGACAGTTTCTCACTGACTACTCACCCTTGTTAATTGTCTCCCACCTGTGGAAAATGGGTCCTTAAATGTAGTTTGTATTTCTTATCCTCAGTGATGCCACCCATGTAATTATTATAGTTCTGAGTAGATATAAACATATAACTCTATTTGCCTTTTGAAAATCTGGGGATAAGTTAAAGTACATAAAATGCTTCCCAGTATTTTGATAACAGATTCTTAGTAGTTAACTTGTTTCTATCTGCTAACTACAAATGAATGTGTTTGTTTAACAAGTATTGTCAAAAACTCCTCTGATACACATTTATACTTCCATTTTCTTTAGTAATCCCTCTGCTATGCTTTGCTACAAGGATCATTCTGGCCCTTCTAAGGTATCTGAGATCTTCTTCAGCCAGTTAGTTCTCAGCCATTTTTGTTCTTTTCCTTATCTCACTTAGTCCACTTATCCTCAGTCATCTTCCTTTTTTCCTGTTATCCTCAGAGTTCCCAGTTCCAATTATTTACACTGTGGCATGGCATTAGTTAACAAGAATGTTTTAAATAACTTTTACTTGTTTCTATGAGTTATACTTGCTTAAGTTTCAGAATTTGAAAGTACTTAAAAATATAAAGAAAATTAAAATCTCTCAGAGATGCCTACAGTTAACATTTCTAGGTATCCTTCCAGGCTTTTATCCTAAGCCTGTAGACAGACGAATGTACATACACATTTTAAAAATTGGGACTATATAATAGTGTCTTATTGCATTTTCTCCCCAATATTATTAAACAATCTTTTAAAATATATTTAAAAAAATGTTTATATTTCATTCCATCATGGATATATGTAGCAGCTAAGAAATTCCTTATTTAAGAGGAATAGTTTTACTTGACTTTGTTTTTAATTTCTTGTCTTTGTGAAAGATAGCAAAACTTAGGTATTCTGAAGTTTTCTATTTTTAAAAATAAATGAAGAATTCTGTTATCAGGAAAAGAAATTAGGAATGAGACCAGGGAATTGTGGTATCAGATGCTAGTTTTAGGACCTAGTATAATTTTGAGTAAGGTCTTCTGAGCCTGTTTTCTCATCTGTAAAACTGAAAATAACTATTCTTTCAAATAGTTATTGAAAGGACAAAATGATGTAATGTACATAAAAGTTTATTTCAAACTATGTGACAAATTAGCCATGCAAATGCAAAATATTTTCTAATATGTGAGAAAAAAGATGAGTCCTTAAGACTGATCCAATTAATTTTCTTAATAGGAACTCTGTCTAAACATCATTCCAACCTTTGCAAATCTTATAGACTACCCATCCATGAAAAATGCTTTGATACCAAGAATTAAAAATGCATGTCTACAAACATCTTCCCTTGCTGTAAGTAACTGCGTATTAATTTTTGATTTTCTTTTCTCATTTGTTTAAATAATTTTATTATTGTGTAATAACCCTTTTATAGTGTTCATGTATTTTGTCTTGGCTATAGGTAATTGCTAAAGTACTATAAAAGTGAGCAGTAGTTATAATTTCCCCTGATGTATAATTTCACAGTAATACGTCCCTGATCTTATTCATTATCCCCTAATTTTGAGTGCTTTAATAAGAAATTTGAGCACTTTTTTTTTCTTAATCCTTTTCTGCTTTAATTCACTATTTTGATGGTAGTTTTAAAGTAATCATGAGAGTTTAACTTGGTGTATAAGCCTAAACACTTTTTGAATGACTTCCTTTTATAAACTGCCTTTATTTTTAGTCATCTATTCTAAATATTTTTATGCCTCACTTATTTGCTTACTTTCAAAAAAGAGTAAAGTACAATAAAAAATAAATTAATAAGATTATTAATGGGGAAAATAGTTGTGCTAAAAAGTCTAGAGTAAGGGTGGTTATCTTCTTGAATACAGAATTTTAATACCAAGTTATTTGGTAGTCAGGGTGGTAGGATAAATAACAAAGTTCTCGTGATCTCATATTGGAGGCAATAAATGTGCCCAACCTTTTCTCTAACTCTGAATCATAAGAATTATCTCATTGATATTTCTTTATAGAAGTAACATTAAATTCTCTTTTCGCCGCAAATACCAGCTTTAGAAAAAAGAGAGAAATGTCCTTCCTTCACCTGATCAGTTCTTATTTTGATGTTTAATAACAGCCATAGCATTAAATTTGCATTTAGAAAAGATAGTTCCTTGGAGAGCTCATGAATTTAAGTAAAAGTAAATATTTATAGCTTAATAGATTTATAGGCAAAATAAGTTTAAATGATAAATACTTTTACCTTACAGCCATCTAATCCATTTTAGTTCATTTATTTTTGTTTTATTTATTTTTGTTTTTCTGTTTGGTAGAAAGACTCAGATGAAAAACAACACTAAAGTAGGAAAAAAATATAATTTTACTGAAATGAACTTGTATGAAATGAAGTAAAAAAACATGAGTTCTTATTCTGACTCTGCTACTAATTCTTATACCCTTAGGCAAGTCACTGTACCTCTCTGAGTGTCTGTCTTCATCAACATTAAAAGAATTTGAAATGCAGTCCATTTCTCTGAAATTTTCTAATTTTAAGATTAAATTTTCAGACTACATGGTAGTAATATATGCTTAAAACTCAGTTTTCAAAATGCCCTTTTAAAAATCACATAGTATTTTATGGCAGCATACATGTTGTTAAAATAGATTTTCTAGTTGAGTTCTAACTACATATGCAGTGAGGTGGGAAGCATGGGTACTTAAATAATCTGTAATGCCCAGGGATGTTTATATCCCCTTTAAACATGCCAACTGAGCCCTTAAAGGCATGCTGTTTATAAGGAATTATAATGAATGGATTTAGAACAGTAACTGAAATGGATTTGCATTTTATATTATCATACTCAGTGCTCTTACCTTCACAGTGGCAAATGTGAATGCTTGAATTGCATTCATAGACATAGACCTCTAAGGTTTAAATATGCTAGGAAATTCCTGAAATGTGAATCATGAGTTAAAATTATATTTTAATACAGTTTCCTGAAAATAAAGAAGAAATAAATTCTATGCAGAGATAGATAAAATACTCCAAGAGCTCTATTTCTTCATGACTCACATGACTAATATTTTATATATCATGAAAGAAAATAAAAGTAAACTTTTTTTAGTTCATATGTCTTTGTGTGTATCTATACACATACATACATATATAAAGAATGCAGCAATTCCTGTTATTAAACTAAGAGCAAGTTTAGCCGTTAGATATAATTTTGAATTTATAAAATCCCTTGTGTTTGGGTTTCAGAAAAACAATTACACATTATTTTTCAGAAAAATATTTTCATCTTTCTTGCAGAAATACAGTGCTTTTTAAACTAAACTGTTTTCTGCTGTTCTTAGTTTACTTTATTTTTATTTTTAATAAATGGAGTTTTATTGATAAGATCCTGGCTCAGAGTATTCTGTCTTTACAAATTCCAGCTAAAAAAATAGAGTGTTAAATATTTACCAAAATAATCAAGTGAATGATAGAATTTTTATAAAAGAGTTCCTGAATATCAGATTTTAATAACTGTATTAAAAATATACTTAGAAACAGAAAATTTTATGTAGGACAAATATAGATTCTCTTTGCATGTTGTTAAAATATTTAGTTAAAGAATGAATTGAACCTGAGTTACAGAAAAATACTGGAAGCCCAGTAAGATTGATTACTTGGTGGGAGAATGTAGTCCTTTTTATGACTCAGATGCCCCAAAGAAATGGTCTTAGTACAGTAAACACATATACTAGTAGTAAAGCTTCTTAAGTCCTAATTCACTTTATTTAAAATGATACAAAACTGAAGTCAATCCATACCTTTAGCTAACTAGTATCCTGGTAAAGCCATCATAAATTTTTTTCTGAAACAAGTCAGGGGAGTTAGTAAATATGTGAATTTCTTATATTAATAAAGGATGAGAACTTTTAAACCTACTTTTATTCTTGAGTTATTTTTAACATACCTATATGAAGATTAAATACTTAAATATTTTGTTTATATTATAAAGACTTTAAATGACTAATTCAATTTACCTCTTTTAATAGGTTCGTGTAAATTCATTAGTATGCTTAGGAAAGATTTTGGAATACTTGGATAAGTGGTTTGTACTTGATGATATCCTGCCCTTCTTACAACAAATTCCATCAAAGGAACCTGCAGTCCTCATGGGGATTTTAGGTAGCTGAAAACTTACTGTCATTTGATACTACTTTATCATTTTACAGTCATGCAAATACATTTTTCACTCTATAGGACCATTGTACTCTACTTTCACATATATAGCATTCAGTAATTGGAGAATGATGGGATAAATGCCATGATATAACTTTTCTTTGTGTTAATTTTAGCAAAAGCAGTAGGACCTTGACATTTACAAAGGAATAAGACATTTGGGAATTCTAGCTTCACAAATACCATGATAGCATAATAGTTTGCCCTGTAAAATGGTACTAAAAAAGAGAGGCAAACAAAGTTACTTGAAATACTGATACTAGTCTTACTAGTCCTGATGTTTATTTGGTACCCAATTTGTAAGAGGCGCTATGCTAAGTATTTTCTCTGCATTATCATATTTTGTACTTTCCAAAATCCAATGAGATATAGATACTGTTATTTTTGTTTTACAATAGTAAACTGAGGCTCAGAAGTGAAGTAAGTTCTTAAAGAATACACAACTGATAAGTGATGGAGCTGGTTTGGTTTTTTGTTTGTTTGTTTTAAATTCTCACCTGAGGATATTTTTTCCATTGATATTTAGAGAGTGTAGAAGGAAGGGAGGAGGGAGAGAGAGAGAAGAACATCTATGGGGAGACAGCACATCAATGGGTTGCCTCACACACGCCCCGACCGGGGCTGGGGATTAAACCTGGAACCCAGGTACATGTTTTTGACTGGGAATCCAACCTGTGAACCTTCAGTGCTTCAGATGACACTCTAATCACTGAGCAACACCAGCCAGGGTTGGTTTTTAATTTAAATATGTTTAAATCTTAAGCACTGTTTCTCTGCTAAGTAATGTGCTGATAAAGTATATTAGCCTTATGGCACGTTTTATTCTATCAGCATAATTACAGATTACTATGTCAAGAACTCTGAAATTGTTTGTGAACAGTTAAAGTTATGAGAGTCCAATCTGGAAATGCCAGAGGTCTACTCTACTAAGAGAAGCAGACATAATTATGAAATCACAAAAACAATTAAAAGTTCACTTGTTACTAAATTGAAGTTCGTCGTTAATTTTGAAGAAAAACTATATTGCTCAGCCATGTATTTTTAACACCTGTAATAGTGTCTGGTCTATAGAAAGCCCTCAGTAAATATTTGCAGGAATGGTCAGCAAGTAATTTATTGTGGACCTCTGGAAACGTAGCACTTTTGGGATATGGTATGAAACTTGTGAACTCAAAGAAATTAGTCTTCTTGAGAAGGTGTTTGTAATAGTGGAAAGAGCCTTAGTCCCAATCTGTTTCTTCATCTATCAAATGAGGATGAAAATAACATCATTATAAGTGGAGTCCTGTGAGAATTCAGGGAGAAAACTGAAGAGAAAGTAATTAACATAGTGCCTAACAAACAAGCATTCAGTACGTTCACAATAAAATTATTCTTTCAGTATATAAGTAAAGTGTACATTAACAGAATAATAGGAGATGGTGTGCTACTAGTTTTGGATTATATGCGAAATGCTTACAACACAAAAACATCTAGAGAACGAGGAGTAAATGTGCTCTGTTGATCAAATGCAGGGTTTGTGAGTAGTTGTAACCAGTAGTCTTGAAGGTCCAGTAAATTGGTGAGACAATGGAGGAGGGTTGTGTGGAGATGAATTAAATTATTAAGGTTCAAACATGTTGAGTGTCATTGGTTAAAGATGTGAATAAATGTGTAGGAGCTCTACCTATACACTTTGAAGTAGATGTCTCTACTTGAGTGAGAGGTCTGAAATATATATATAAATGTTTTCAGGGTAGAGGGCATTCTGTAATATTCCTGCTGCACTGTAAGAACTGTACCTAGTTCTGATAGACTTTTAATGTTATGCTATTATTACATGTGCTCTTAAACCAAAGGCTACAGGATAAATATGTCCTGGTGTTTAAATCTAAACTGATGACAAAGCTGAAATCATTCTATATGCCATATGTAAGAGCATTCTCATACTAAGCACTGATAAGGAAACATTTGTAGCTAAACTGATTGTCAAGAGATTTCATGTAGATAAGCTGTTTTCCTGATTTCTATTAATTAGTGGTATTGAATTATAAAATTTTCTTATTCTTTTCTATCAGGCATTTACAAATGTACTTTTACTCATAAGAAGTTGGGAATCACCAAAGAGCAGCTGGCTGGAAAAGTATTGCCTCATCTGATTCCTCTGAGTATTGAAAATAATCTTAATCTCAACCAGGTAGGAGGAGTTTTGTGCGTCATTCACTTTATTCAGCTTACTGTTTTTTTTTTGGCATTAAATATCCTACCTAATAAAAGAGTAATATGCAAATTGACCATCACTCCAACACAAAGATGGCCACCCCCACATGGACACAAGATAGTCGCCACAAGATTGCTGGCAAATTGACCATCACTCCAACACAAGATGGCCACCCCCACATGGACCCAAGATAGTCGCCACAAGATTGCCGGCAGGTGAGGGCAGTTGTGGGTGATCAGGCCTGCAGGGGAGGACAGTTGGGGGAAACCCAGCTCTGCAGGGGAGGGCTGTTGGGGGAGACCCAGCCCTGCAGGGGAGGGCACCTGGGGGGATCCTGGTCTGCAGGGGAGGGCAGCTGGGGGAACCCAGGCCTGCAGGGGAGGGCAGTTTGGGGCAACCAGGCCTGCAAGGGAGGGCAGTTGGGGGCAACCAGGCCGGCAGTGGAGGGCAGTTATGGGTGATCAGACTTGCAGAAGCCAGGGGAGGGCTGTTGGGGGAGACCCAGCCCTGCAGGGGAGGGCACCTGGGGGGATCCTGGTCTGCAGGGGAGGGCAGCTGGGGGAACCCAGGCCTGCAGGGGAGGGCAGTTTGGGGCAACCAGGCCTGCAAGGGAGGGCAGTTGGGGGCAACCAGGCAGGCAGTGGAGGGCAGTTATGGGTGATCAGACTGGCAGAAGCGCAGTTAGGGGCACTTGGGCCAGCAGGGGAGCAGTTAGGCGTCAATCAGGCTGGCGGAGGAGTGGTTAGGGGCAATCAGGCAGGCAGGTGAGCAGTTGGGAGCCAGCAGTCCTGGATTGTGAAAGCGATGTCCTACTGCCCCTTTAGGCCTGATCCCACTGGGCAGTCAGACATCCCTTGAGGGGTCCCAGATTAGAGAGGGTGCAGGCTGGGCTGAGGGACACACCTCCCCAACCCTGTGTACGAATTTCGTGCACCGGGCCGTACATATTTGTATTAGTAAAACAAGGAAAACTATGTCACAGAGTTAAGTGAAAGCTTTGGGTTTGAAGTAAGGGGTATGTGAGGTGGAAGGATGGATTATTGGATGCTTCATTGGGAGATAGTAAATGAGCAGAATGTTGAAAGATGTATAGGATTTGGGGCTACTTTACATTTGGGGCTAGGAAGTAGACATGAACAAAGAAATATTAATGTAATGTGTCTGGGGTATGTATTCATTATTGCTCCATAGCAAGTCACCATAAACTTGATGGTTTAAAACAACAAGCACTTATCTCACAGTTTCTGTGGGTTGGCCAAACCAGAGCCTGGGTTCTCTGCTCAGATTCTCTTACTTCTGCCATCAAAGGCTAGGTCTCACCTGAAGGCTCGGCTGGTATAAGGATCTGCCTCTAAGCTCATTACATGGCTGTTGATAGGATTCAGTTCCTTTTGGGCTGTTGGACTGAGGGCCTCAGTCGCTAGCTCTCTGTTAGATGGATGCAACTGTCAATTCCTTGCTTCATGGATCTCTCCAACATGGAAACTTATTTTATCAAAGCCAGAAAGAGAGGGAATCTGCTAGGAAGATGGAAATTACAGTCTTATAAAGTAATCAAGGAAATGACATTCCATTACCTTTGCCATGCTCTGTTGGTTACAGGCAGATCACAGGTCCTGTCAATGCTCAAAGACAGGGGCACAAAGGCATGAGTAGCAGAATGAAATGACAGGGAACCATTCTATCCTATCTGCCACTGGGAATGAAGAATTTAATTTGAACGAAAGATACCTATAATACAATAGGGGAGTAGTGATATGATAAATTAGTCTAGAATAGGTATGATTTAGATATTCAAACTTTCAAGGTATGGTAAATGTTTGAGCAAAGGGGTAATGTGTTCAAAGAGTATTATAAAATTGCCTCTCTGCATACCTTTATCACTGTAGTTATCACAGTATGTTCTTATGTGCCTGACTGTCCTGGAAGGCGGGTTTTTATAGCTTATTCTTCAATATATCTTCAGCAGTTAGTGCAGTGCCAGAAACAAAAATATTTATTGAGAGAAAATTTGAGATACAAAGTAATGGCATAGTTTGTTCACCATAGAACTAATGATTAATAGAAAAGACTGGGAAAGATTACTGTTAAACTGAGTTCAGAAATGGATAGGCAGGCAAGATTCGGAATTAAGGACTGAAAGTGAATTAGAGCAAAGCTGAGAGTTAGGCAAGAGAGCTTTGGGCATAAGGGGACAGTGCTGAGTAAATGGAATTTTGGAATTAGAGAAATGTATGACATGAATCAGACCCCAAATTTCATTGAAGTGGTAGGGTAAGCCTCTGAAAGTTTGTGTTCCTAGATTTTAGTTTTGGGCTTTGTTATATGGCCAAGTGGGGGGTTCTTTTCCCCACTGGGTGCTGGGGGTGTAGTTCTTACAGTATCTTGAGAAAAGAATTTTCTAAGACTTGCACAGGAGAATGAGTGGTTTTTATTTGCCTGGAATTACATCCCTAGATTTCCAAGGTACCATTCCCCTTAGTCCAGTCATAGAAGATATATAGTTGGGGTTTCAGTAAAGCTAAAGGCAAAGCCAGTGTCCAGAGTTTCCTTTCCATGTTGGAGCTGGGTCCAGTTCAGCATCAGGCTAGTTGCAGTCCATTAGCCCATTGTGTGTGGGGTTTACATGGCCGTGGACCATGTGGGTGAATGCAAGGGAGCTCCACGAGCCCAGAGTCACATAAGTCCCAAGAGTCCCAAGAGCATAAGAGAGCAAGCTTCTTTGTTCCGAGAATTAAGTATCCCAAATTTTTGCGCCCTTGCAGTGGCCACCCCCATTCTGGCCAGCCACCTCTGTCCCTAAGTGTGATTGATAGCAAGCACCTTCGCTAGTCCCCCCAGCTTTACTGGGTGTGTATCTATCTTCCCTTTGTTGGACCCCTGGGAGGGTAAAGTTGTAGTTTCCTGGTAAAGCTGCCTAAATGACATGCTTGTAATAGCTGGCTTCCACTTGCTCCTTTCCTATTATTAATAACTAGGTTAATTACAACCGTTTCAGCTTGTTAAGTTTCTTTGTATCTTGGATGACACGGTTGAGGTTATGATTGGCAAAAAAGGGACAAAGTGAATGTTGAGGAAAAATTAGGATGCTCATATGTCCAAGATAGTCTTCAACTTCGGGTTATTTCTGTTCTTATATTTATTTATTTACTTATTTATTTTTTAAATATATTTTTTATTGATTTTTTACAGAGAGGAAGGGAGAGAGATAGAGAGTTAGAAACATCGATGAGAGAGAAACATCGATCAGCTGCCTCCTGCACACCCCCTACTGGGGATGTGCCCGCAGCCCAGGTACATGCCCTTGACTGGAATCGAACCCGGGACCTTTCAGTCCGCAGGCCAACGCTCTATCCACCGAGCCAGACTGGTTTCGGCATTTCTGTTCTTATATTTATTATTTAAAATATTCCCTAATGCTTATTTTAGGATATATAATTTCATTTGAAATGTGGTGTTAGATTTGTTCAGGTTTATGGTTGATTTTTTTAGGGGCCTATTTTCTTCTTCTTCTTTTTTTTTTTTTAATATATTTTATTGATTTTTTTACAGAGAGGAAGGGAGAGAGATAGAGAGTTAGAAACATCGATGAGAGAGAAACATCGATCAGCTGCCTCCTGCACATCTCCTACTGGGGATGTGCCCGCAACCCAGGTACATGCCCTTGACCGGAATCGAACCTGGGACCCTTCAGTCCACAAGCCGACGCTCTATGCACTGAGCCAAACCGGTTTCGGCAAGGGGCCTATTTTCATCAACAGAAATATTTTGATTCATACCTTATGGCATTTTACAATAGTTAGTGGTCTAACTTAGAGTGCTCGCTTTTCTGTATATTTTATGGATAGAGTTCCTAATTCAAGACTCTTCTGTCAGTTCTGATGTAAAATAATCTAAGTATATTATGCATTATGTGAAAACGATAAAGTAACTTAGGAAAATACATATTTAGCATTTGATTGAAAAACAGGAAATTTCACACAGCAATTAAAACACAATCACAACGGTGTTTGGGAGGGTTTTGAAGACCGCTCCAGATTCAGTGATTCCCTGGGACAGCGGTTCTCAACCTGTGGATCGCGACCCTTTGGCGGTCGAAGGACCCTTTCACAGGGGTCGCCTAAGATCATCCTTCATATCAGGTATTTACATTACGATTCATAACAGTAGCAACATTACAGTTATGAAGTAGCAACGAAAATAATTTTATGGTTGGG